ATTTTCCTTTTTTATATTCAGATAGTATTTGTGAATCTAATAATAAAATTAAATTTCCATTTAAGTCCAAATATTTAGAACATCAAAAGGAAATTAAAATTTCATCAATTTTTATATCATTTATTTTCTTGAAATTTATTTGTTCATACATAGGACTGACTTTCTGAAATCAATAGTTTTAGTCCTTTAGGTTTTCTCATACAACTAGAAAAGAGCACTTGAAAATTTCTCAAAATGAAGCTAATGTTTCTAAAATTATTAAATTACTGCATTTGACAGCATGGATTCGTTACAGCTGCAGTGAGAAACACATAATTGGCAAGAGAGCGTGTGTTCCTAAAATGTAGAGGAAGCATCCAATTAGCTGTCTATTCCCCAGTTTTCACTACGAGTAAAGATTGCATCATATAAATAGGTTTATGTTCTTCCTTCAATATGAAAAGATTTTAGGTGTCTGAGATAAGATGCTGTATAAAGAAAAATTCATTCCTTGCTGGCATTCATATAACTTGCTACCTATAATTTAACTGATAACAATGGCGTAAGCAAACAGCTATTATAACAGCTGTGCTGTCTTTCACTGGCATACAACATTTGAAAAATCACACATATTTTTAAAAATTTTCATTTGATATGAAAGCATTAAATATATTCAGAGATATTGCATGATGCAGTCTCTAAAATATCCCAGAAAACTAGTTTTCCCCCTAAACAATTATTGTAAATGCCATATTTTCTACTAGAGTAGTTTCATTTTTCTCTAGCCTGTAATATTTGTATTGTATTTAATATTTTATTAAGTAAAATTTTCTTCCCATAACGTTAGTCATAGACTCTCCAAACAGTATGTTCATAATTGATTCAACATTCTGAATCAAGATCTAAAAGTCAGCAACATTTCTATTCTAGTGATATTGTCACACCATAGTAGTACAGTGCCTCCCAAACATTTCCAGGATATTAAATAAATCTCAATCAATTGTTTTCAACTACAACTACAATGAAACTAGGTTAAAGGGTATGGTCCCTTTACAAAAAACAAACAGGGACTTCTGCAATGATGTTCCCAAATGACAAGAACAGATCGGCCAGAATTGCATTCAGGCCCTCTATCTCTACATCTCAGCATAGCAGTGGTCTTTAGGTTGATCTATGAAATGTCTTAAATGGACCAATAAATCAATGGCAAAATTGCTCGTTGCCAGAGACAGCTACCTTGTGTTATGTCAGCAGCCATGAAGCTTTTTCTAGTGTACACCCAAGGCAATGATGTGGATTCCCACCATTCCTTTTGATTCCTTGTAACAAATACAGCATTGCCAGTTTATTAGAGGATATCCAGGGACTGACAACTTAATAAGTGGACTAAAAACTGAGACTCAAGGGCTGGCCCGGTGGCGCACTGGAGAGTGCGCCGCTTGGGAGCGCGGCAGCGCTCCCGCCGAGGGTTCGGATCCCATGTGGAGACCGGTTCCCACTCACTGGCTGAGCGTGGTGCGGGCGCAACACCAAGGGTTGCGATCCCGTTGCCGGTCCCCGGTATGGGCGCGACACCAAGGGTTGCGATCCCGTTACCGGTCAGTAAAAAAGAGACAAAAAGGAAAAAAAAAAAAAAAACAAACAAAAAACTGAGACTCAATACTTCAAACTTCTTTGGGCCCTCTCTTAATTTGAATTCTCTCAAAATTCTTTGGGCCCTCCACCTTTAAATGTAGATAGCTGCTATCCTGAGAAAAGCATCTTTGCATGTCAAGAACATAAAGAGTAGAGAAAGGTTTTAGACTTCATCAAATATTACCTTATTTTCACACATGAGAAAACTGAGGCTGAGAATTAAAATGACTTGTCTAAGGTCCCATAACTGACCAATCACCATTTTATCCCAAGTGTGTTTCCTTTACTAAGACTTCATGTTTTTGTAAAATTTTAACTTTATCCAAGTGTCAAATACAGTAATCTCTCTGCAAGCTTAGAGAATAGGTTTCAGAAAATCCTTATTTCAGGGTAATTTGGAAGTGTGAATTTAAGACTATATGGTGAAGATAGTACAAGGGAGTTTCAAGATCAAGACTAAGCCATGAAATTCTTGTAAATATATCATATTCACTCAAGTAAAAAAGGAGACAGCAGCATATTTAATAAATACAGTGAAAGTTACATTTTACATATCTTAAGTTGATAATAACGGATACTAGAGAACTAGTTTTTATTTATTGCTTAGCAGGAACTTATCATGAGCTCCCTATCTCCAATTTCAATGAAAGTCATGTAAGTACATTTCGTTTTGTGCAGAAAACACATACACTATGAGGAATCTTTTCCCGTGCTGGTCCCCTATCCAAATGTCCAATGCCTTTCAATATTTATGACCGTAAGAGCTTCACCGCTTCTCTCAGCTTCTGATTCACTGGTCTTAGACATCACTAGTTTTAAGACATAAATTTACAGTCTCATCTTTCTTTCTCTCTCCTATTATTTCCACTGCAATCCATTTTATCTCCTCTTTAGAAACCCCAGCACATGGTTCTCTCTCTTTCTAATCACTCAAATTAAGAAAAATCCAAATTTAACATTCTTCTATAGGAAAGAATACAGAAGCGAATCCTCATAACTTTGTAGCTCCTTTGTTATGGACCAAATCACTAAAGTGAATATACAAATACAGTCCATAATCAGAAAAAAATATATATTAGAAGTTAATCACAAATACACACAGAGGCCAAGGAGACTGTAAGACACGCCATTATGTTTCCCATAGTCACCTACTTTCCAGTCCATAAAGTCAGTTTCAGTTGTGATTAGGAGTCTCTCCTCCCTCTAATCTCTTCTTATCTTCCTCTTGTGCTCTCTCCTCCTGAGTTCTTTGCTCTGACTTCCCTGCCAGCCCAAGTCTCACTGTCTACAAATAGCTGGCCAAATACCAAAACCATGGAATCTTTGCTCCCACCTCCACCCTAGGAAGGAAGGAGATAAATTTCTTCTTGGTAGAACTTGATTCCTCATAGGAGAAGTTCTACACATTTGAGTTTCTCCAAAGAAATCATCGCAAAAGACAAAACAGACTTTTCTACCTTTCGTTTCTCAGTATTGATGGCCTTTCATAAAATGACTTGGATGAAGCTTAACCACCCCCTTCCTAGTAGCAATGAATAGAGGAAGCAACCAAAGAGGATAATATTTTGTGTATAAGAAAATTGAAATTGTAAAATCCCTCTGTTTGTGCCTGATTTCCCTCTCTTCTCTCCCACTCAAGCATTTTATTCCACCTTCACCCATTTCCATTCTGCTTCATCAACATTTCCTCTTAGTGGATCATTCCCAGTAGCTAAAAACTCTTGATTTCACATTTTACATCCCTCTCCAGCTCCTGCCCCATTTCTCTGCTCCCCTTCACAGCAAAATTCCTCAAAGTGTTGTCTATACTGTCTCCAATTTCCTTTTGATTCTCTTCTCTCTCTCAAACATCAAAACACTCCACATTTAAACTCCTCCCATTCCCCGATTATTTCAAATATTCCCATGATATAGATACCATATTGCCCCCCTTTAAAAATAAGGATTTTGAAGCAAAGAGATTTACTTAGGGATCCAGTGACGTAGTAGTCTTAGCTCTCTCTTACCACTGCAAATACATTGAAATGCTAAATAAAACAAAACAATATGTCAATATGGCTTAAGATAAAATGGGGAGATCTCCAGGTGCCAGAAACTAGAAAAAAAACCTGCAGACATAGCAGTGAATACATGGGCCCAAATACCCAGCCACTAGCCAGGACTAGGCATTGCACAGAGCTGTATACTCCAAGGCCCTCTAGGCTACTTATTCTCTCTCAAACTCACCTTCATCAGGCTTTTATGTCTGGTATGTCCTTTCAACATTGCCTCTCAGATGTCTAATGGGCATCTCAAAATGAACATTCCCAAAACTGACTCCTCATATTCCACCCCCCAGAAAAACTTATCCTCCCCACAGTCTTCCCCATGATTAATTAATTAGTTTCAATTTCATTCTTTCAGTTGGTTCAAGTCAAGAACCTTGGAGTCATTCTTGCCTCCTCTTTGTTTTGTATATCCCACCTCCAATGTGTCAGCAAATCCTTTTAACACCACCAACATTTTCCTATGGTATCTTTTACTACCACTCTGATCCACAGCACAGTCATCTCTTGCCTATTTTATTGCGGTCACCCCTAAGTGGTCTCCCAGCTCCTGCTCTTGCCCCTATTTCAATCTATTCTCACAGCTGTTAGACTGAGTCTAATAAAACATAAGAATCTATCCCTCCACTGTCCACAGAACTCTCACTCAGAGTAATGTTGCCAAAGTCTTTCCGTGATCCTGAGGTCCGGCCAGATCTGGCCCGGCCACCTTGTTGCCCTCGTATCTTGCCATGCTCCTCCTCCTCCACCTGCTCCGTCTGTACCTGCCTCTTGCTCTTCCTCAAACACACCAACCAGATTCCCGTTTGGGGAAAGAATGACTGGTCATGACTGATAATGGCTCTGTTTGGGATATTTGCATTTGGCAAGGCTTTGGCTAAAGAAAAATAACCTCCAAAAATGGAATATAAAGCCATTTCAGAAGGCTTTGGGGGAAATTCCTGGGAAGAAGTAACCATCCATGTGTTTCTCAAATCACTTAGTTTGATTAGGATGTGAAATGACACAGACGTTAATATAGTCATAATTTCAAATGTTTTTAGTGGTTTCATTGGACTTTAGAACTGATGATCTTTCCCAGTTCTCCTTTCCCATTATTATTTAACAGTCATAGATAACTACTTTTTCTTTTTTTTTTTTTTTTTTTGTCTTGCCTTTAAAGAAGTCATGTGATCAACATAGGCTTTGGGCGGAGTTTTTCAAATGCAGAAGGTTTTAGAGACAAATATTTACCTCTACATGCAACAGTACCAGAATGGTCGGTACCTAGAAGCCTCTCTTGTTTGGAAAGGATTATCACCTGATCAAGTTCTCTGTGCAGCCACCCCTTTAGACTGTAGAATGTGGCTCAGGGTGTTCACAGCTTTCCTTTCCTTTGCAGCAGGCACTTGCTTGGGGCTGAAGGTGACGGTGCCATCACACATCGTCCATGGCATCAGAGGTCAGGCTCTCTACCTCCCCGTGCACTATGACTTCCACACTCCAGCATCAGACATCCAGATCATATGGCTGTTTGAGAGACCCCACACAATGCCCAAATACTTACTGGGCTCTGTGAATGAGTCTGTGGTTCCCGACTTGGAATACCAACACAAGTTCACCATGATGCCGCCCAATGCATCTCTGCTCATCAACCCTCTGCAGTTCACGGATGAAGGCAATTACATCGTGAAGGTCAACATTCAGGGAAATGGAACTCTGTCTGCTAGTCAGAAGATACAAGTCACTGTGGATGGTGAGTCCACTCTGAGTGTATATGGGCAGCAGGCTAGCCTGGCAGTTAGCAAAGACTAAGAGACTAAACTACCCGGGCTTTAGATCCAGGCTCTGTAACTTTGGGCAAATTAATTAACTCCCAAAGCATTAACATCTCATAGCACTAATGACATTATCTACCTCATAGAACTTTCTGAGGATTAAATAAGACATGCGAGTAAGACATATACACAGTGCCCGGCAAAAGGATCAAGCAATAAGCATAACTTATTACTTCTTTGCCTGTGAACTACCAAGTATAAAGTTTCTGATATAATGAGATGGAGAACATCTTATTTTCTCAGTAATAGAATGCACCCTAGGAAGAAGCCTATTTTTTCATGTGAAGATTTTGATTTTGGTACACTGGGGGAGGATGAGATTTGCTTAAGGGCCACACTTAAGAAACAATAGGAGTTCCTGGAAATGTCCTCTGAGGGGGAGTGAGACCCGCCAATTTTCAGATATGTAGAAAGGAACTGGCTACTGTTCTCATTCTCTGTAATCGTGTAGAGAAAGAACATGATCAAGGGTGTTACTCTGGGCTTCTGCTACAAGATGAGGTCTGTGTATGCTCACTTCCCCATCAACATCGTTATTCAGGAGAATGGGTCTCTTGTTGAAATCCAAAATTTCTTGGGTGAAAAATACATCCACAGGGTTCGAATGAGGCCAGGTGTTGCTTGTTCACTCTCAAGAACAGAAAGATGAATTAATCCTTGAAGGAAACAACATTGAACTTGTTTCCTTTTTTTGTTTTTGTCCTTTTTGAGACCGGCCGCACCGCGCTCAGCCAGTGAGCACACCGGCCATCCCTATATAGGATCCGAACCCGCGGCGGGAGCGCTGCTGCACTCCCAGCGCCGCACTCTCCCAAGTGCGCCACGGGCTTGGCCCTCACACCTTAAATATACTGTATCTGAAGCCTAACTTCTGATTTTTCTCTCTAGACATGTTTACTTGACAATATTCCCCATTTTAGTAAGTACCAACTCCATTCTATAAATTACCTCAACCAAAATCTTGCAGTCATCATTGACTCCTCTTCCTTTCACATCCCACATCCAATCCACAAGAAAACCTGCTGGCTTCACCATAAAAATATAGATAGAGTCCAACCACTTCTCACCACCCCCATTACTGCCTCGCTCAACACCACCGTCACCTGAGACCTGGACCCCCCGCTGTACTTGCCTCCTGCAGCTTAAAATCCTCCCATAGCTTCTATCTCACTCAGAATAAAAGTCAAACTATTAAAAATGGCCTGCAAGGCCCACCATGATCTCCCACGACATATGTTCAGGGGAAGCAAAGACACAGGATGTGGAAGCAGATGCCTAGAGAGCAACTTTGGGGAAAGAAAAGAGATTTCTAAAGAGAATTTTCATGAAATTTACCTGGGTGGTGTCCTGTGTCCCCCAAAACTTTTAATAGAAAATCCCTTCCTTGTGAATATATAGTAAATTTGGATCTATTTAGAGAAATGCAACCAAAAAAAATTCATCCCCATCTCTCTTTGTCCTGTAGTCACACATAGAAGGAGATAATTAAATATATCTCTTTCCAAAATGTAGGAGAGATACATTGCCAGATTTAAAACCCTCTTCACTTTCCCACTGACTGCATGTAACTCTGGGCAAGTCACTGTTTTTATCAAATAGAGTCAAGAACCTGAAAGATTAATGAGGGTTGCTGAAAATGATCATGAATGTTTATATAACCCCCACCCTTATGTATCAACTTTATAGTTAAAACTCAGAGAGGAAATGTTTACTTCTATTTTTTGAAAATTTAATTTTTGCAAACTTATTAATTTGACAAATATTACTAATAGCCTACTGTGTTCTAGACCATGAAATAAGGTTATTTTCCTCTGAATTGACTTTTCAACAGGGATTTCTATGCATTTGCCTGTTATATCTCTAATTTGATATAATCCCAAAAACATACTTTATCCTATTTTCAGATTGAGTCAGTGTTGAAATGTAGGCTTTGTTTTGTTGAAGTGACTAACAGTGTTGTAACACAAATGCAAAGTGATTAAAACATATAATTAGTTCAATTACATAGAAAGAAATAGAAGTTGTGCATATGTGATTCTCTAAAAATTTCCCTAAGTTCCGCAAAAGTATGCTATATATGAGCTGTGTATTTGTAGGTGGTGAATATAAATTGGGGTTTACCACATCCACCCCAACCAGTAGCTCTTAGGACATCAGGACAATTCAAGAGAGGGGAATAATCATAGAAATGTTGCCTGTGAGCATATATGTTTATGGTGTTGGGAAAAGCACAATGAATAGGTATAAGGAATCTGGTATTCTCAACCACTCACTACATTACCTAAAAAAATAAAGGGTTTCATTAGACAAATCTTGAAGAGTAAGTTCTAGAATTTGTTTATCTCTGACTATAAATATTATTTTCATATTTTATCATTTTGCATTTCCCATGAGTTTTTTATTCTCTTCTTTAATTATTGCCTGAGCTATCTACATTTACAATCTAAAATGTTGGAATCGTTTTTCCAGGGGTTAATATTTGAAAGACCTCATAGAGTTTTATTATAACCCCATGGGTAGAAACAATCATTTCTATCTCTTTTGATATTGCAGATCCTGTCACAAAGCCTGTGATGCAGACTTATCCTTCCTCTGGGGCTGTGGAGTATGTGGGGAACATGACCTTGACATGCTGGGTTCAAGGGGGCACCCGGCTGATTTACCAGTGGCTGAAAAATGGGAGGCCTGTCCACACCAGCTCCACCTACTCCTTTTCTCCCCAAAACAACACCCTTCGTATTGCTCCAGTTACCAAGGAAGACATTGGGAATTACAGTTGCCTGGTGAAGAACCCTGTCAGTGAGATGGAAAGTGACATGATTATGCCGACCATATATTGTAAGTTTTTTTTAAAAAAATGTTTGTGAGTTGTTTTTTTTTTTTCTAAGAAATTCTCACAGGAGTAGACAGAGAATGTCAGCATCAGATGTCATTTTGTTTTTACCATTACAGTAGTTTAGTACTAGTTCTAATCACACCTCCTAGTAGTAACTCCCCCCCCCCTCCAGTTGTGACAACACTACACCTCCTAGGTACTGTCTTGTCATGAAATATATCTACTAGCACAACCCTATTTCTTGAAGATCAAGTTGAGATACATACTGTCCAGGGACCATTCAGGATACATTTTGTGATTCAGTCCATTGTGTGACTTCATTTCCATCAGAAAGTGGGAACCTCAACTTCAAGAACCCAGAACCATGCAGAGGCACTAGTTTATTCATCCCCAAGGAGGAAGAGTTGGTGACCATAAACCGGATAAAGGGATGTGCTCTGTAGCTGACCCCAGGGAAAAAGAATGTTCCAGGTTATGCATGGGTAGTACATCCCAGGGCATGCCTGTTCTTTCTGCCCATTTTCTCAGCACCATTTTTAGAAGAAGGGTGCAGGGAGGATCATATCCAGAAAAAACTTAATTATTCTGCATAAAGTATTCAGATTCACAGAGAATCGGTAATTATTTCTCAATTCCAATTTTCTTTGGTTCTTTTTCTGTTGTTGTTGAACCTCATGTACAGAGTTAAGTTTTTCATACTCTTCAGTTCATGTTATATTATCATCACCAACCCAAGCAAGGTCCCTCTCTTTCTTTATTGTATTATTTTTCCCAGTCCCCTCTACTCCATAACACTATCTCTAACGTGTGTAATATTGCACTCTAATTTCAGCTTAGCACGGGGTTTCTCAGCCTCTACACTAGTGACATTTTGGGCTGGATAACTATCTTCTGTGGGGACTGTCCTGTGCGTTGTAGGATGTTTAACAGCATCCCTGGGCCCTACCCATTACATATCAGTAGTACCCCACTCCAGTTGTGACAACTAAAGTTTCTCCAGACATTGCCATATGCTCCCATGGGCAACATCCCCCAGTTGAGAACCAATGGCCTGTCACATTGGGAAATCTTATTATTAGTTACCATGTATCCTTAAAACATGGCTACAACAGCAGCTTAACAAGAAAAGTGACATGTGGCAAAGGAAAACACCTCACCCCTGTGGCATAAGGGTGGAGGTTTCAGCTGGTTGAATCATAAGGATAGAATTAAGCCTGGTGCGTATATCCACTCACTCGTCAAATATATCTTCACAATACTGGAAGAGACCCAAAAACCTAGTTTAAGTGCTTAGGAGTCAGACAGACTGATGCGGGAAGCATGCTTCTGTCATTATTTGTGTTACCTTAAGTAAATCCCTTGATCTTTCTGAGCCTCATCTGTAGGATGGAGATAGTTAAAACTACCCCATTGTATTGCCATGGTTAAATGAGGTATTGTCTGAAAAATAGCCGATGACTGACACAACGCAAGCACTCAGTAAATAGAGCCTGTTCTTATGATTGATACATCTATATTCCACTTTCTTCAACAGAAAATAAGAATGTAAGATGATGGATTTGTTAATTAGCTTGATTTAATCATTTCATAATGACTTGTATCGACTGCCAATTAAAAACAAAATTAAAATAAAATAAAAAACCTATAGAGTCCTCTTGAGGAAGTGTGTTATTAACTCTGGGAAAAAGCACCAGAATATGTACAAAATGTAGCCTTTCCCAACTAGAGAAAGCTTTAGAATAAAACTGAGAAGCAGCAATGAGCAGGGAATGGAACCGCTGGGAAGAGGGGCACGGAGTGACACAGGTGACAATGGAGGTTTTGCTTGAACCAGCAAAATTAAGCTAAGGAAAGCAGAATCATTGAATGTTGAAACTGGACGCTATCCTATATTTTAGTAGAAGAGTGAAAATGTGTGCAATAAAATATATGAGATCAAATGTCATAGATACCCTAGAGATGCATATAAAGAAGTATGAGTATTATGGCTAAAAACAAAGCCAGAAGGCCCGGGTTCAAATCCTGCCTCTGCTACCTCAACCTCTCTGTGCTTCAGTTTTTTCGTCCATATGATGATAGTACCTATTTGATAGAGTTATTGTGAGGATTAAATCTGTTACTATGTGTAAAGAGCTCAGAACAGTGACTGGCCCATAGTAAAGACTATGTAACTGTTAGCCATTGTTATTACTATAATGTTGTTAACCCATGGGAATTCAGAGGATGGAAATATTACTTCTGACTGGGGAGATAGCTTCTTGCAGAAAGGAACATTTGAGGTGGACCTTGAACTATGGGTATGACTGGGGCAAGTGGCGATGTCTGGGAAAACCAAATCAGACAATGGGGATGGCAGGATCCCAGACACAAAGCAGAGGTAAAAAGTATTTGGCAAATGGTCCAGTTCAGCTGGCGTGTAGGATACAGGGGGCAGGGATAGGGGCCGGGATAGTGGTAGAAAAGACAGATCAGTTTGAGTCAAATTATGAGGAGCTTTGAATGCCAGACATTATTAGCAAAGAGTGAATAAAAAATATTTTTTAAACAAGGATCCATATCACATACCTATTCCAGGCTAAATCAAGAAATGTTTGTCAACAGAGCACATGTTTTTAATATAAATTACAAATTTTATACAATTGTATAAAGGATATATGTATAAGAAACGCAAAAAGGAACATGGACATATTTTATTCATCTACTATATAAACAGGAAAGTCACCAATTTTGAACTCTATACAGTGATTAAACATACCTAAGAGCAATTTGAAAGCATTTTTTCTAAAAAGTATTGTTCATATGAAAATTTTAAAACTTGCTATATTGATTGAGTAATTCAATTTTGGTGTAGGAAAACCAGAGAATATTAACTACTAGTCCAACCTAGTTCAAAATTCAGTATCTCAAAGATAAACCAGTGCCTTTACTCAGAAACAGAAGAAATTATACTAGAATTCCGGATTCGTTTTTCACTGAGAAATACAAAAACACCACACACTGCAAGAAAATAATTTAAGATTTGTTACAATTGTTAGTTACATTGTGTTTTTAAATGGTGTTATTTTTTTAGCTGAACTTTTAGCTATATTTTTACAGTAATTTCACATAATCTTATATTCAGATAATGTAAAAATATTCTGTCTGCCTTAAAGCATAGGCAGAGAAATAGGTTCACAAAAAAAGTATAAGCTGTGGCTATACTGCTTGGCTAGCATTGAATTGGAATGAAAAATTCGGACTTGGGGTAGTCTATTTATACATGTAATCTTGACTGAAAAGGGTTATTCTGACATAAATTAAAATTTCCATTCAGCTTCAAGTAGCACAGATATAAGTGTTTGAGTTATTTAAACAGTGAAAAGAAAATATGAGCAGACAAATTGAATCAAATCTCGGACTACACAGACATGTCTTTACATTATTCTTTGTTGCTTGGTCTAAATGGTTTACATTCACATAGGAAAGGTACAAAATGCAAAACAAGGTTTTAAACCAACCAGATATCATCTACTGAATATTAACCCTAAAAAACCATCTTTCAATGTGGTGGGAAGCAGCAGGAAATGAGATTGTGTTGGAGCATTCCTCGTTAATTGAGGAAAACCTGATCGTGTTTGGTTTCACCCATGGGCTCTAGTTAATATCTTGTCCTTTGGGGAGTGCATCAGGTAGCACAGTGGTTATGAGCCTGAGCTATATATTTGGACTGACTGGGTGAAAGCCTTCTTCTGCCATTACCAGTGTACACGAATTACTTCCCCTTCCTGTGCACGGTTTCCTCGTCTCTTTATCTGTGCTGTCCTCAGTATAGTGTTAATACTTATCTCCAGAGGGATAGAGAGAATTAAAGGAGATTTTATGTATGAAGAAATTAGTGTGTAGCACATAGGAAAAACTCAATACTGTTAGTTCTTTTTCTTTCCTTTTCCTTTTCTTTTTATTTTTGTTTTTTGTTTGTTTGTTTGTTTGTTTTCTTTGAACCAAAGCTATGCTGACGTAATTGGCAACATGGTGGTAAGAATTTATGGAGAGCCTGGATAATTTAAAAGAAACCTGCAATGAGAAAACTGTAAGAATGCCTTGAGAAGAACATTTTTCTTCTCCATACATTATCATTTCCCAATTTAAAATACTTTATTTTTCTACAATAAAATATTTTCTTTATATTGATTCTTCTGGCTCTCTGTTTACCTCTCCATCTATCTATCTATCTTTAAACTTTCACCATAGATTTAAATGAGAAATTCCTGGGAAAAATTGCCTAAACCATTATAGGCACATGCAAATATTTTTGAAATGCACTTTCATTTTGTTATATAGTTTACTTTAATCTGACGAAATGAAAATGAGATCTCTCTTTCTACATGTGCAAGTATATGCACCAGTCTCATTATTATCACAGAATATGTTTATACACAATGTGGAAAACATAAAAATGGGAGGAAAAAAACATAATCACACCTGTAAATGTTAAATATTATGCTTCAGACTCCTAAACCATCTTCCCTTTCTTGTGTTATTTGAAAGAATTAAAATATCCCAATTTGAATTAGTTCATATTTCACAGAACGTACCTTCTACTTACAGTTTGAATTTTCTTCTTTACATTCTTTTAGACATAACTTACAAATATCTCACAGAGAAACATCTATCATGAGTAAAGACTGGTGACAGATAGTTGAAAGAAGAACATTCAGAAAATTTACAAATGAGGGTTCTGTTTACACATTGCAAAGATGATTTTGTTTTGGTGGCTGTCCGATAAGGAATCGAACTCTGGATTTGGTGTTATCAGCATCACCTTCTAACCAACTATCCTAACTGGCCAGCCCCAGTAAAGATGAATTATCCACATGATTTAAGAAATATTTTGACTATTAATTGGTAATTGTGAATACAGTATAATTAATTTTTCGTCTTGATTATTTTTACGTTCAAAAGCAGAAACCTTCACTTGGTCAACATCTCATCTAACTGATATTCATTTATTCACTCATTCATTCATAGTTTGACAAAAATCAAATGTCAGGGTCTTGTTTGTGCCAAGCAATTATTACCTATCACATAACATATAAAAACACAATCCAGGCTCGGTAATTTAATAATTTTTCTTGCTATCACTATTTTTGCCTTATTTTATTATTTGTTTTGTTTTTGTTTTATTTCCTTGGTTTTGGGAACAAGAATTAAATAAAATGTGTAATCTGAAGATTTGTCATTTATCCTATCTGTTGATGTGACATCAACATGTTTGCAGTCTTTATCATTCCATGCAAACTGGGAATATATGCCTTGGTTGATCTTATTTCTACTCTCTTTCTTCATCTGGTTACCCTCTTCTTCCTTCATGACATCATCTCCAGAAAGGCTTACTTGCCCCCACTTTGTCTCACCTCCTCAGTGTCACTACGAGGTTCGCTGTGCTCCTGCAGCGTCCTATGCTCATATCCATCCCGGTTCTCACTGAACTGAATTTACCTTGACTCTCCTGCACCCATAAGCACATCAACCCCAAATAGGAGTTCTGCATTATTCATTTTTGTATCCACAGGGCAATACCTAACACAGATTAAGAACTCACAAAAAATTTCTTGAACTTCACAAAAATGGAAGATGTTATCTTTCTTCATATCCTTTCAGATTGCAGTGTTAGTTGATGATGCTGTAGAAAGGCTAAATTCCCATTATAAAATGACAGCACCTTCATTATAGTGCTTTGGCCCTTTTTTTTTTTTTTTTCTGACCGTTAGCAAAGTTTTTCAATAACCCAGTAAATGTCATATTCCAATACTCTCCTACAGAGGTCCACATCATAATTTAGAATTCCAGCATGAATCACCTATTCTGTTTTCTTAAGGCACTATTTCCGTAGTAGTTTCTTTCATGAAAGCAGGAATTATTTTTTATTTTGGCAGAAAAAAAGTATTAAAAATCTATCAAGATTGACCATATATTCTTGAAGTTATTGGTATTAGCCTTCATGGAATACAATGTCAAACCAATAATTTGCACAAATACCTACTTGTGGTTGATAAAATGTATATGCCTTCTAGCTCCAGTTGTAAAGAATAATCCAGTAACCACCGCATTTTGTGTGCAACATATGACACTGCTGCAGGGGAGTACTCCAGTGATAAAAATTAAAGGAAAAAAAAAAGGTTATTCACAGTAAATACTTACCATCTGTTCCCAAGCTGGGTGGCAAGCAGCATCATGATGGAAATTTAGGTACTGTTCCCGCCCAGCCATAAATTGTTAAAGAGAACAGATGATATGTGATTTTACAAGTCATTTGGTAAACAGCCATTCCTGAGGCAAAGGGTTCATTTCTCTTGGGAGCTCTCGGCCAAAGGCAAGAAAGTAAACCATAATCCAAAGTCAAAATGGAGTTATCTTTCTGCTTTCATCTTCAGTATCAGAGGCCACTCTGGTGATTCACTCCAAATGTCTCCAACTGGATTGCCCATTCACTTGAATAATGTACTAGTCTGCACCTCAAGGTAGAGGGATGGTCAGCCTGAAGTGCTAATAATAAAGGAAACAACATCATAGTGTAGTCAGAAGAAAATAGACTGTAAGCAGTGTGTAGAGCATGAGAGATAGATTTGTGCATGTGTGCAAGAGAGAGAGAGAGAGAGAGATGCATAAAAGAAAGACTTGTGGAAATTGGTTTTCTTAGCAATGAAATTACAAATGATATTTGTTTTCATTTTTGTGCTTTTTTGAATTTTACAGTTTTCTGCAATGAGCATGTATTTCTTAAATAATCAGATAAAATATGTTAGTTTGAGAAATCATATCGGAAGCAAGGAACATAAATGCTTCAGGTTGTTAGGTTCCAGGAGCTGGAAGAGATGCTGGGGGGCAGGGATTGTGGGGGCAGTTTGAGGAACTGAGGCTGACTCTGAAGAGTCAGGTGGAGCATATAGTTCAGACAAACAGAAAAGATTATTTCGACCATGAAACCCAACAAATGAGGAAGTAACAAAAACAAAATAAACAGGAGTGAGTAGGGAAGATAAGCTCAGATAATCAGATTTCTTTCTTTAAAAGTATGTTTTATTTTAAACTAGAGTGATCTTATTAAATTAGATCATTGACTTTATTCACCAGCCTTGGCTCTAAATGACTGCGTGCCTCCTCTACAAATTGAACCCACCCTCCAAAATGGAAGAATCACTAATTGTGAGAATACTCCATTATGTTGCAAGGTCCTAAGGCAATTCCAAATGAGGAGTTCCCAAAAAAGTTCTGAGTCATGTCAGCATGCTTTGAAAGGAAAAACATTCACTTTTACGTGAGTTAAATTATCAGGCAATTTGTTTTTATAGCAACATTCTGTAAGCCCTGAAACCCAGTGGGAAGACAGAGACCTAAATTGAATGGCCATATTTTTATGATCACACTTTTATTCATCAAACCTGTCTTGCTCTGCTCCCAAAAGGGCTCTCAGACTTTAGTTTGGGGACATAGACGTAGATCTCTCACTCTCCGGAACTGCAGTCCATTCCTCCTGTTGGTTTCCTTCTATGTGAACCATAACCAGTGCCCCCTCTAGGTGGTCTCTGTTTCCCTAATGTTCTATCAATGCTGACAACTTGAAGGGAACCTGCTGCTGCATGCACCTGTGATAATAGTCACAGGAACCACGTTTTCAACATTGCAGATTCCCTCACAATGACCAGAACAGTATCATGTGCATGGTAACATCTCAATATTGATTTTGGTTGAGTGAGTGACAGCAAATTTTCATTCTCTTTATATTACTTACTATTTAGTGGAATTCAGAATAAGAAGGTTCCATTTTCCAGCACACTTTTCTAAACCCCTTGTCACAGTGGTTTCACCTGAGACTGTTTCATAGCCTGAAATGAAAGAACAGTGTGACAGTGTCCTAGTGCAGTCAACAGGAAGGGGCAATACACTTCTCCCCATTTTAATTCTCTTCATCCACCCCCTAATCACTTTAAATTAGTGAGTGCTAACTTCTATGTTTGCTCTCTGAAAGCAGGGTTACCGCATATAAACATATTAATACAAATCTCTAGGGTGCCTTCACAATTCTCCATGACTTTAGAATGAAAATATGTTTAAGCGTATATTCCCTAGCTAAGTGTAATCTATTGTTTAGTGTCTTCAGTTTCTATTATATCTTAGGAAATATGTTTTCCCAATGGTAGATTGGTCAGAAAATGCTGACATAATAGAGAACCGCTCTGGGAATCTGCAAACTTGAAATTGGCTTGCCAGTATCCAAAATAGCTTTAGCATGGCATGAGTCATGGTGTTTCAAAAGTAGAAAGAACTTTGGCAATCAGTCATCTAATCCATCTTTTTATGTTAAAAGGTGAGATAAGTGAGACTCAAAAAGTTTAAATGATTTCTAAAGAATATTTAACTAATGATTGACAAAAATAGTTACTGTCTAGTCACTGCACCTATTATTCCGCATGATGGGAGATGAGCAGTCAGTACTTAAAAAAAAACAAAACAGGACCATTGACATTAGGTCATTACTACACAAAACTTCCACTGCCTTATACAATTTGTAAATTCCTTGACACAATATGAACTGTGCCTTATATGTCCTATCTTACATATACTAAATATATTCTAACACTTGGTATTTCTCAAATAAATATTTGATCAATTGTTTGATTGATTACAGAATTAATATATAATTCGACAATAATTTATTGTAGAACTAATAGTATATTCAGACAACAAGAAACTATTCTGATATAGAAAGTTATACCGCTTACACTTTATTTCTTTTTAGGGAAGTGATATGAGAATACTTCAAAAAGTTCATGGAAAAATAGAAAAGATAATATGAATTTTTCCATGAATTTTTTGAAGTTGATGAGTGTATGAGTGATTTTATATTTTAGAGTCACAGCTTTGCTATTTAATAGCTATGTGGCCATGGGCCAATAAATGTTTCAAATATTTCTTCCCTCATCTTAAAATTGGAATAACATCTATCTCATATGGTTGCTTTAAACATTGAACGTGGCAGTCTGTATAAGCACTTAAAGTACCTGCATATGGCAAATATTCAATAATTGACAGTAATGATTAGCTGGAAAATGAGCATTATGATATTCAAACCTCAAAGATTTTTGGAATATAAGTCAGGATTTAAACTGGATGAGAAAACCTATCCAGCTGAGGAATTTTTTTAAATCTCTCTGTTTATTCTCTGAAGGAAGCGGTGAGAAATGTGTCTTCAACTTCTGTCAATCAATCTGATGCCATAGAAATGGTAAAGTGCTACAGGAGTACTGCAGCCTGAGGAAAAACACCACAGTTACTCATAATTAAGTAGTCTGTTGATAATCAATGAGCATTTGTTAATGATAATGAAAATATATTTTTTCCAAATGAAATCGTAAACTCAGCTTAGGGGGAGAAATTTTTAAAATTCTTTAACTGTTAAAATGTCATGAAAATTTGGAATATATCTATTTGCAAAAATCTGTGTTCCATGTAAAACTATGTCTTTTATAAATATTTGCATTACTTACCCTAGCACTGAGAAGAATAATATATAATATTCAAAGTATGGCTGTCAAAGTGAAAATAGTGGCCATAATCTGTTTTTAAAATATTTTGAAGTGTAATAACTGTTTCAGAAAGATTGAGTTTGTCTAACAAAACTGAGGCCTTATCAATACACTACGCAAAAGCTTAGCATCACAATTACGATGACAGTGTTTGTACAATTATATACTAAATTTCAGCTTTTCACTATTTCAAATAAGTTCAATCACATCTCAATTTCCATTTTCATGGATATCAGAATAAAGCATATTTAGGTCTTTATCCTTTATTGGGAGTCTAAATGAGGACCTGTTTGCCAAAGTCCAACATGAAGACTTTCAGAGAAAGTAAAATGCTACTAAGCTCTTCCAAACTCAAAAACTATGTTGTGATTGTTACTCCTCTATTTTTTTTTTTCTTTTGCATTGATGCAGATGGACCTTATGGACTTCAAGTTAATTCTGATAAAGGGCTAAAAGTAGGGGAAGTGTTTACTGTTGACCTTGGAGAAGCTATTCTATTTGATTGTTCTGCTGATTCTTATCCCCCCAACACCTACTCCTGGATCCGGAGGACTGACAATATAACATATGTCATTAAGCATGGGCCTCGCTTGGAAGTTGCATCTGAGAAAGTGGCCCAGAAGACAACTGACTATGTGTGCTGTGCTTACAACAACGTAACTGGAAGGCGAGATGAAACTCGTTTCACAGTTATCATCACTTCTGTAGGTAAGTGTGAAATAAGAGGAAGGAATCCCAATAAAACACAAATGCGTGCTGGCCTTGTTCTTCCCCTATCTTATACCTGTGTGGAAGAGAAAGTCATTGCGGAAATATTCATATGCTTTAAAAAGCTACATTTCCTACATTAACTAAACCACGGTTTCTGTGAGTCAAAGAAGAAAACCCAAAACCAAAAGGAGGGGAAATTCAATTGCTGGCTCTGAAGGGCTATGAAGAAAAAGAGAATTCAATAAATTATTTCTAAATGTGCGTTCTTGCTTTCCTGATTTTACAAACAGGAATGTAAGAGAAGCAGGCTGTTCATTCAGAGGGTTTATAACTACCGTTGCACTAGGTCAGCTGCCTACATCTCCATGAGTTGGAAATCTGGTTTTCCTACTGCCTGTTTGACTCCCCATCTCACTGTCCTTCATGAGCTCCCCTTCATATTTCACCGTTGAAACACCTGAAATCTGTGGAAGTTCTCAACAGGAGTTTCAACATCTTGGAAATTACAAAATTTTGTAAGCCTGTGAAATTTGGCATTCTCTAGAAATCATCTGATTTTGAAAAAGATCATCAATCCTGAAAAGGTTCCTGCCTAAAATATTGATGTCCTTCAAATTTGTCACCTCTCCCAGGGTGACGGAGATGCAAAGGATTACTCAAAGCCCATTTCTCCAGAGCAATGAGAGGCCCAGAAGGGGTTAATTCCAGGAACAATTCCTTCAAGAGAGAAGGATTCCTAGGAAAATAACACTGAACAGGTTTTCTCTCAGTTTTTATTGTCCAGACAAGAAAGTTACAGAAAAGGAACACAGGTGGTTACAAAAGGAACAATGAGATAATTGTTATGGCTACACTTAGTTCCCCAAGAAACTCAAAGAAACAGCTGAAGACAAGATGTGGAACATCCCTCAACCAACAACTTTGAAGCCTTTTAGCCCACATATTTTCCCATCGTTAGGTTTAGCTGCACCAAGGACATCTGCCCTTAGAGCAGGCATTTTTGCTGTATTACAATTTTTTTACCTACAACAGAGACTTTAGTCCTGGGAAAGTTTTCAGTTTTTCCCAAGCTTAGCATTTCTATGTGCAATACTAAAAAGTTAGGCTATACCTTAAACTACAGGGCTTTGGCCTTGCTAAAACTACATTTGCTTTATTAATGTTGGTATCCTCCACAAAATTCCCATCTTTCAATCCTCCTTTTCTCTCTACAGTATGACTTTATTCTCCTGTATGATTTCATTCATTCCCATGGTTTGTAGCAATGGTGCATCCCAAATCTATATCTTTAAAGCTCTAAAACTGTATGTACTAAGCTTCTTTCTGGATGTCTCCTCTTAGAAGTACCAGAGGCATTATACAGTTCCAGTCTAGCAAAACTGAACTATCTTCTTCCCCTCACCCCCAGATTGCTATTCTATCTGTATTTCCTGTTTAAGTGAATGGCCCTACTATCTACCAACCTAAGACAGAAAGTGAAATGTCATCCTGGACTCTTTCCTCTTGCTTATTATCCTGCCCCACATTCAGACACCAAGTTCTGTCCTTTCTCCTTCCTTCCTACCTCTCAAATCCATCTTCGTCTTTCCTTTCTCCTTCTTTTTTTCATTAGTTTTTTGTTTCTCTTTTCTCCTTCTCCCTTTCTGTCTTCCTTCCCCTCTTCTCCTCCTTCTCCTCTTTTTCTTCTTCCTCTTCTATTACCATTTCTACTGCTACTGTCAAGTTCTTCCTGGACTCCCCCTTGTATACAGAAAAAGAAAAAACAGATTTCACTTGGGGAGAACCTGGGGGCAGGTTTGAACAGAAAGTGGTGGTTAAGATGCTTATGATTGATGGAGGTACAAGTTCACGAAAAGTAACACCCATTAATACTTTTTCCATTGACGCCATATATTTATATGGCATCAATATATTTCCATTGATGCCATCTTTATAGCTGGGATGCCTAGAATATGGCCCACAACATAGAGAAGATCAATACATTTTGTTGAATAAATGAAGCAAGAATATAATCTATAGGCTAAGTTCTTCAGTATGTGGTCCTTGGATCACCTGCATCAAAATCACCTGGGGAAGTTGCTAAAAATGTAGTTTCATCAAGATACTTCAGATCAGGCCGGCCCGGTGGCGCACTGGATAGTGCGCCGCTTGGGAAGCGCGGCAGCGCTCCCGCCCGAGGGTTCGGATCCCACATACAGACCGCTCACTGGCTGAGTGAGGCGCGGGAGCAACACCGAGGGTTGCAATCCCGTTGCCAATCCCGGTCCGGTACGGGGGCGACACTGAGGGTTGCGATCCGTTGCCGGACACGGAAAAAGACAAAAAAAAAAAAAAAAAAAGATACTTCAGATCTACTGGATTAGGATTTCGCCCGCAAGTAGGAGCCAGGAATCTGAATATTTAGCAAGCACAAGCATGATAACCACTTGTTTAAGATGTTTAATCCTTCTATATCATTTTTAATTTATTAAAAGCCCTTAAAGAGCCATGAAGAATTATAAGACTATTACAAACCTCCAGGTTAATGAATAAATGTACAGTGGATGGGGTCCTTCTAAAACTCCTTTAGGTTGAGGGCATTCATATTTAAACAATCACCTGAATATATTGGAATTTATATACTGTCATGGTGGGGTTTTGGGTTTTTTAATAAGAAAATATTATACTCTGTAGAAGAGTGGTATCCAGTAGAACTTTCTGCAATGAAGAAAATGTCCAATATCTGTATTATTCAATGTGGTAGCCACTAGCTTCATTTGGCTTCTGAACACTTAAAATATTGCTATGCTACTGAGGAACTGAATTTTTTATTTCATTTCATTTTTATTAATTTTAATTTTAATGGAAATAGCCACATGTATCTAGTGGCTACCATATTGAAAAATGTAGCTCTAGAATTTTTACCTGAATTGTACTTCATTTGGGCAGTAGATAATAATTTATTTCCCTTATAGACCCCCAAAGCATATGTGTGTTTAGGGTGATGTAAATTAGCAATCATTCATCATTATTTAGCACCTATAGGCCAAATACTGGAATAGGCACTGAAAATACCATATAAAAAAAGTAATTCCTGCTAACAAGAATTCCTGCTAACAATCCAATATAGATAGCAAATATTTAGCTATGGTACATCCTTTGCTTTCAATTTTACTTAATTTTTAATACGCTTAACCAGCTTTTCACCCCAGTAGTTAACCAAAATATAATTTTAAAGCAAGCCATAATTAAACATATAAAATAGTTTAGTAGCAATCTAGATGTCATCTTAGACTTGTTCCTTGTGCTCATTGCAAGTAAAATCATGACTGTAATATGTAGAAGTGAACTGCAGTGAAGCCTTTCCCACTGCCTAAACTTTCTCCATTAATATTTAGCCAAGGTATTTTCATAATGTCAGAAGCCCCCAATATTTGTTTAAGATCTTATTACCAAGGTCCAAAGACACCTACAGTCTTAACGTTAGATAATTACCTTTTGCAAAATCTAAAAAACCTGTTTGACCTGTACAAAGACCAGGCATTTGTTATTATAGTAAATAAGAAGAGCAGGTGCTTACTTTTCAGAGGGATTCAGGGTTGTCAACATTAGTGACCTCTTTGTGGTTTTTAGGGCTGTTTTCCAGCACCCAACTGTCCATAGAACTTTAACTCAAACAGCAACAAAATAGTGAAGAAAATGAATGGTATTGATATGTTTTAAGTATTTGATTTTTTCTAAGTTTTCAAATGAATGAATCTCTGCAATCCAGATTAAGTGTAGACCAACTTACAGTTATAAATGACCATCACTTGTAACTATCAATTGGTCACTTACTCTGATAAATGAGCTATATTCAGATTGTGAAGAATTTGAAATCATTTAGAAAGATAAGGTGCCTGCCTTTGTAATGTTTTCAAAACTAAGTTGGTGTTTGGTACAGCTAGAGTCAAGTCGTAGGAAATAGATGAACCTCTTTTTTTTTTTTTTTTCATGAGATGAAAAATATGGCCCACTAAAAAGTCTCAGGGATAAGAATGTGGCAAAGGAAAAAGGAGTCAAAGGTGACTCCAAGGTCACTGATGTAGAAAGAAAATAACAAAATCAGGAAATAATCAGAAGTTTTATTGGGGACTTTAAGTGGGGAGAGGAAGGCTAGAGAATGTGACAATTAGCTCTGTGGTTTTTTGCCTTTGTAAGAAAAACCACTTCTGGGGCTATGAGTCCCATCTAATTTGAGGTATTAATTGACCTTTCTGTATCTCAGTGGAGATATCCTAAAGAAAATAGAGACAATGGGGAAGGTCACACAGCTAGTAAGTGATAAAATAATATCTGAATTCAAAGCCCTTGGTTTTAACCACTATACAAACTATCTCCCTTAATGTAACTGAGAATATTGATGGAACTAAGCTCTTTTTAAAACGTATGTATATGATCACAGATATAGAGTACAGTGTGCATTTTCTCTTCACCTCAGCTAATTTAATGCTGTATACATAAAGGTACTCTGGTTTGTTCATGACATATATATAATTTCATATTAATGAGAAATTATGAAATATCTGTAACTAAAAATAATACGTACAATGTAAGTTTTAAGAATTGTTGCTAAAATAATCAATTAGCATTTGTATTTTGAAAAACAATGATTTTATTACCTTAAGGACTTCCTTGAATGCAGATGTCCCTACTTTAACATTTTAACTAAGCCTAAATTGCTATTGTGATATGCAATATATATATATAAAACAAAATGTTTATGGAAATATAATGATCTAATCAGAATTCAGATGTTCACATTTAATGAAAGCATTCAAATATATAGAGTTCCCTAGTACCATGCGTCCATAGTTTGAGATTAACCATAATAGAAATGTTATGAATTTTTATGTAATCCTGAGAAATCTACCATTTTTATATCTATTTATATTCCATATCTTTCACTAAGAAAAAGATCCAAGGCAGGAAAATGAATTTACTAATTTCTTCTATCTACCTAGAAATTTCTCAAGTCA